CTTCTCTTATTATCCTACATTTCTACTTATACATCTACCATTTTAAAGATGGAAAGTAATTCTTCTGTTATGCAAAACAACTTTGACAAGTGGAAGGATCCGAAGACCGGACTATGGTGGGCAACTTGCAAGTGGTGCAAGAAAGAGTGTTGCTTGGGGCGTTCACACGGAGTCGGGATGCCAATGAAACATATGAAGTCATGTGACAAAGGTAAAACAACAACCAACGGTGGCGGAAATCCCAATTGATATTTATTCGAAAATGTATTTCATATTGTTATTTTTTCCTCAATTCTCAAATGTACTTCCTATTTCAAATAAATGCACTTGAATTTTGTTTTTCATAACAATTATTATAATTATATAGTATAGAATATTAAAAAAAAATGAAAAGGACCGGCCCGAACCGGGCCCGGCCCGTGAACCGGGCGGGCCACCCGGCCCGAACCGGACCCGGGGTTACCCGGGCCGGTTCCGGGCCTCCCAAACCGTGAACCGAGGCCCGGCCGGTTCAAGGCCCGAACCGGGCCCGGCCCGAACCGAGTCCATGCCTAATCATTACCCAACCAACAATATTATATACTAATTGTAGGTTCAATTATACAATACTTTCCAATTCCATAAATTTATTCTCAATTTGACTTGACACGTTGACTAGCGGAGACAGGCAGGGAGCCTCGCCCCCTAATAAATTTTGTAGTGTATTTATACACACAACACAAATATATAAACTATAGAAACGATACATTTAAATATGAAGCTTTAGCGGCCCCAGGAACAAGTCCTAATTCCGCCATCGAACATACTTATTAAGAAAGTGAGAATAGAATGAAAATATACAGGTAAATATATATATATATATATATATATATATATATAGGGGATGGTTCCGGTGAGAATGAAGTCCCAGGAGAGAAATAAGAATGATATTCAACCATTGATATCGTTCATCTAATGGTCATTAAAAAGCAGATCAAGGTTCTATTTTCGACCATATTGATTTTATTTAAAAGAAAGGTTTCTACAACATTAACTTTGAGGGGTATTCATGTAAAATAATAATAACGAAATGGTTGCACGTGTGGAATCTTTATCCGAAGCCATCCTAAAAATAGGATGTCAATAACTTCCTAATATGCAAGATCATTTATATATCATTAAATACTTCCTTAATTACCTTTCTGAATTCTAATTTGCACGTTACTATTCAAGTTTAATTTATTTTTTTGAGATCGAGTCATTCCCTGATGAATTAATTTGGTCTATTTGCACTATAAATTCGATTAAATGCACTTATATTTTAAATTTCATGCACCCTATATTAATACCAGTACTCAACTATGCTTTCCTTTCCAAAATAATAAATAATACTTCATAGTTGGAATCATTCTTTTTTATGTTTTAATTTACGAGACACTGATAAATGATACTTCGTATATATCTTGAATAGTTTACTAAAATACCATTATTTATATTTGTGCACTCTATACATTATAAAGTGCAAAAACTGAAGTACGTGTTATTGTTATAGGTTAATGTGCACTATGCATCTGCATATAATTGATGTGCACTATAGCTATTTGAGTCATAACATGCACTTCTATATGAATAAGTATGCATCCATTAAACACTTGAAGCCCCGTGACATTATATTTTTGTATATTGCACTTTAATGTTTGATTAAATGCATTTTTCTCTTAAAATAGAAAAGTGCAAATTACTAACCATAAAAGTGTGGGTGTTTAAAAGTAAGTGTTGAAGATGCATCGTTAATGTTCATATAGTATACACAGTTAGTGCAAACTTTTACTATGCATCATAATGCCACGATGTTAATTATGCAGTAAAGCAAATTTCGCATTGACTATTTTTTGTAATTCAGTTCCTTAACAAAATACAAAGTTAATCTATTCCAAATTTATTTCAATTTCTCATTTGCACTGCACGTCCAATTGTAAGAGGTGTACAAATAATGACTGTATTTTAAATGCATAAAAGAGTGCACTTTCACTCATAACTTGATGCAAATCCAAATCTATATTTGGGTATAAATTGGAGTGCACTTATTTCACCGCCTAAGTGCATCATTGGCAGCCTATGATAATATACCCATGTACTCCATTCGATGTAAGTCAATCTTGCCTCAGAAGTTTTCATAACTTCTTACCAAAAGATAAAATTACACATACAAAATATATAGTTTCACAATATTTATTTAAATATGCAGTTATTTATAATGAAAAAAAATTACAAGATTAGACCAGGAAACAAAATTAGTGCATGAAATAAGAAAAATACAGAATAACAGCAACGCTTGGTTACAAACTTTTTTTTTTCTATTTTTTCATATTATTTTTTTCCGCATTAACATGAAGGTTAACTAATATTTTTTTCATATTATTTAAAAAGTATGTAACTTACAAAAAAAAATGAAAAGGTGATTACTGGAATCCATAGGAAGAGGATGATTATCCCGAATCTCCAAGAAAAAAGAAAAACGAGTGTAGCCATGGTATATTTGCCAACAATAATAATATTGGTCGGCAGAAAAGAATAGTCTAGTGAAGCATTAAGGAAAGAAATTGATGTTTCCAAATTATTAATAAATTAGCAATCTTATGAATATGGAAGTTAACGGGGCAGGAGATCAAAATGACTGAAAGGGGTTCCGTAACACAATAATAATAGGGAGAATCTAACGGTTCTAATCTATTCTTATTTCTCTCTTAAGATGATTTTCTCACTTGAACCTAAATCTATATATATATATATATATATATATATATATATATATATATATATATATATATATATATATATATATATATATATATATATATATATATATATACTATCGTATCAAGTATTAACCACACAAATCATTTCATAAAGGGAAGTTGGAAATCCTTTTAAGGAAATCCCAGAAAAGGTAAGCGACAATTTCTTGGGACATATGTACACAAATTATACGGAGACAATTGACCACAAATTCATTCAGTCATATTAGCACTAAAGCACACCAAACCATCTAACGAAGTTTATTTAATATGCTATTATTAAGTGTCGATAGATTAAATGATCGTTTGATGCCAAGAAGCGATATGAAGCAGCTGTTTTATTGTATACGGAGTATGATATTATTGACTTGTGATTGGTGGCATTCTTTAAATGTTAATTGATGGATTAATGAAAACAAACTGATATGAAACCGAACGTTGCTAAACTGGATCAACACCGGGTTTCATTATATCAATTATCAAGTGACCCTACGAATTGCATAAACTACAACTTGGGTCTTTCAAGTATTGCTCTGTCCAATGAAAAGACAGATGGTAATATATAAATGGTTCCAACTTCCAAGTGCATGCTAGAAGGACAGCTCTAAATGAGTTTTATGTCTATCGTTCCACCAAGGCATATGGGGGATGCTCATGCATGTGTACACATAGAAGCATACATGATACATTCTCCTAACCCATGTCTCTTCTATCCATATACTCATAAAACTATAGATGGGGTGCCATATAAAATAATGCACAAATTCTACAAACCAAGAAGCTTAGGGCCTGTTTACTAACAGAAATATTTTCCAGTTTTCCAGAAAACTGGAAAACTGGAAAACAGAAAACAGGAAACGTGTTTACCAAAAGAAATTCCTGGAAAACTGGAAAAAAGAAAAAAGAAAAACGCGTTTACCAAATCGTTTTCCAAAACGGAAAAAATGAAACATGTCTCTCTTTTCCTTAATGATTTGGAGAAGTGACTTTTACTAGTTTTCCAAATTTGGAAAACGCAGATGCTACAGTGCCTTTGCAATGAATTTACATACTTACACCTAGTGGTGGGTCCGGTCCCGCTCCGATGTCGATTCCATTCTGGTACCTCCATCCTCGTACCTTACCCCTACCCTACCCACCCAACCCCCACCCCGCGTACCCATTTTTCCCTATAATGACCTTACCCCACCCCCACCACATGCCCCGACCTCGGCCCCACCCCGATCCACCCTTCCCTACCGCCACCCCCCTACCACCTCGACCCCACCTCGATCCACCCTACCCTACCGCCACCCCCCTACCACCTCGACCCCACCCCGACCCACCCTACCCTACCCCCACCCCTCGTATATTACCACTTACCCCTACCTTACCCCTTACCACATGCCTCCTACCTCGGCCCCACCCCACCGCCATCCTACCCCCACCCTCGTACTGCCATCCTACCCCCACCCCCCACCCTACCCTACCTCGGCCCCACCTGGATCCCGAGCCCACCTTACCGCCGTCCTATCCCAACTCCCTACCCTACCCCTACCTTACCCCAACTCCAAACCCTACCCACTACCCCCACCCTTACCGCCATCCTACCCCCCACCCCACCCCTTCCCTACCCCGGCCCCACCCTGGTCCCGACCCCACCCTACCGCCATCCTATCCCAACTCCCTACCTTACCCAACCCCAAACCCTACCCACTACCCCCCACCCTTACCGCCATCCTACCCCCCACCCTACCCCAGCCCCACCCTGGTCCCGACCCCACCCTACCGCCATCCTATCCCAACTCCCTACCCTACCCCTACCTTACCCCAACCCTACCCACTACCCCACCCTTAACCCTAACCACGACCCTAACCCACCCACTACCCCCACCCAACCCCCAACCCCTAGACCTTACCACCCCTCCCCGACCATACCCCTTACCCCACCCCCACCCATAACTTCCCTACTTTGACCCCTACGAGTAGGTATGGGTGGGTATGAAGGGTTGTGGTGGAGTATGGGTAGAGTGTAAGATCGTGGTAAGGGTAGAAGTATGGGTAAAGGGTGTGGAATTGGAGAACTGTGTGAAAAAATTGATGAACATGTTTTCAAATTTGAAAATGGAAAACTAAAAAATAGAAACAGAAAATTGGAGATAGAAAAACTGAAAAATAAAAACAGAAAATTGGAGAACGAAAAACAGAAGTAGAAAACAGGAAAATATCTCTGTTAGTAAACAGGCCCTTACTTTTCTCATATAATAGCCAAAACATTTCATTATGAAATTGAAGATAAGGTGTACGCAATGGATATTCAAGCTTGGGCATTCTTACACAACGTATAATGTTTGGATTACATACCTATGTATCTGGCATATCAGTTATTGATATCATTTTGTTCCTTCTTAATTCGGCCTGTTGGGGAACAAATAATCTAAAAATTGATTTTGGAAGCTAGATACCAAGAGTGCATGGAAAGGCAACCAAAAGACATGATATTGGCAAGAGAAGAGAGACCATGAATCATCCCAAATTTTTTGTTCATGGCAGCAAGCTTTGGGTTGGCCTTTGCAACTTCTTGGTTCTTTGTCCACCCTACTTCCTCTCCGATATTTGCCTCTCTCTCAATTTTGTGCCTTTCCTTCATCATCTGCTCATTTTACATCCCACAATCAATACATATCCCATGACTTATCATCATGAAATAAAAAAGAATCAAGTGAACATTTTATTTGCCGTCTATATACCAAGTATTCAAGTAATCAACTGATAAAAGAGCTATACAAAATTCGTGTTTTAGCTAAAACCTTCTACCATGCAACACATATTCTACCAAAACCTGAACACTAACTTGAGTTTTTGATCGAGTATGAACCGAAGTTCATTTCATATAACAACACCAAGTCCATGCCTTATGATCTCATGTATGGTTGGTTCACAGCCTATCTTTGTCACATTTTATTGAACCAATTGCATGTGCAGAACAGGGGAGATATGCATTGCCACAAATTCCACATTATTTTCCACATTCTGAAATGGGATTACTGTCAATCTGTCATGAGAAACAATGGGTCTTGGCACTTTATATCCAACAACCTCACAAGAGATCTCGTGTTCGAAACTCAATGGAGTGAGTTTCAGCCCAGCTGGTCGCCGACTCACTCTCCCTTACGGGAGGTCTCGGGTTCAAAACACAATGGAGTGAGTTTCATCCTTAATTACTCCAGGTCCCCCAGCCCCCCTCCCCCAGACACCCCCTAGAGTAAAAATAAAAAACTTACAACCTTTTCAGTGAGTGTGCTTGATGAAGTCTGGTTTCAAAATAACGTGTGTCGGTTTTTTCTATGTGTTGTGACAAACTAACAACGGTATAAATATCTCAGGTTATGAATTTAGGTGACTTGGAACTTAAAAGTTATGAAATACTCCCTCCATCCCAATATTAACTCTGGTTTTGACTTTGCACGTTGAATCGTTGATTAAAAAAGTGGAAATTGTGTGGTTAAGAGTTGAGCAGAGGAGAGATAAATAATACAAATCTCAAATTCTTTGTCATTAAAGGAAAAAGAATTTATTTTGGGATGGATGAAAAGAAAAGAATGAAAATAATATTGGGACGAAGGGAGAGTAAAATTTTCAATCATACAATACTTAAATTTGCAGTACAGTCTCAGTTGACTTCTACCTGGCATAGAGAAATATGCACTTCACAGCTAAGTAGTTGTTGCAACTTGGTCAAGGGCCAAGAAGAGATTAGGACCGGTTACTCAGGATTACTAGCTAGGTGATAACTCATAAATATATGTGCCACGAAGTTCTAGTAGCATGTGAGCATTATAAGTCTTCTACATATACAACAAGAATTAATAATCCTTAACAATTAATGTTTAAGAAGTCAAAGAAGAATAGGAGCAAAAAGAGGAAGAACAAGCCATCAAGAACCAAGAATCAAAAGATGATGAAGAAGATAGAAGAACACAGTGAGACTAAAATAATATTGATTCTTGCTAAAGCCTTGATTTTGTGGTTTTATGTTAAGAAATTGCCCTAAATAGAAGTGAAAAGAATGTGTAATTCCAAAATTTGAGCATTAGGTTTGTATTCCGTAAATAAGAATAGAAAATACTGCCGCCAATTAGGACAAGAATGCTGTCATGTTAAAGCCTGGTAATGCCAAAATATTGCAATAGTATTTAGGCTGCCTAATATTTACCCTAATATTTAAGTACGGTAGTAAGTTACTCTTATTTAAGGAAAAACGCAGTACTCTTGTTTTTGAAATTTTACATTACTTTTACTCCTATTTCGAGAACTTTGTCTTTTGTACGAAGTATTTGATTTACTATAATGAAGTACCTATTTTTGTAAAATCCCATACTATCCTACTTGGTTTCAAACTTTCAAATTTAACAGAACGGAATCCAATTTTAGCAGATCAAGTTACTTGGTGTGTAATCCAAGTCACACAAACGGTTGGACTCATCAATTAACTCAGAATCTTGGAGTGAACTGAGTTGATAACCTACTAGACAAGGTGTTACCCTCAGCTAATACTCCCCGAGTACTCAGGGATTACTTCGCGATTACATCACATAGCTTCACAGTTTACTCACATTAGTTAGTCATACCAGGAATAGATTGTTCACTGATTGTGAGCAATTTCACACTGATTTGCAATATTTTACAAAATAAAAATCAATTGTACTCCATTCCAAGAATGGTTAGACAAATCTGAATAACCCACCAGGAAGTAGGAGCTAGTTACAGAAATGAAATCAGTTGAATAACAATCCTCAGAATAGAAATATTTTGTACACAATTTAAAATAATATATGCTCATATGACATTAACTTCTCCAGGGAGTAATAATTAATTAATTCTCTATCGGCTAAGTGCTAACTAGATCAGACTTCAGAGAAGGTGGCAGCAGACGCAAATTCTCCAGCTAATCTAACACGGTAGTTGGCTAGAAAAATGCCAAAATGGGGATTAATCAGGAAGTTATGTAATAACAGGAACGCATTTAGTTTAAGTACCTTTATAGTCATGGGAGTGAAGAGTAAAAGATTGCTGAGGTTAAAAGCAAAGGCGCCCAGAATGAAGCCAATCTGATACTTCTCGGCACTGCTCGAGGTCTTCCATGGATGCAAGTACCCAAAACCCGCAACCGATCCCGCACAGCAAACTCCGACCAAAGTGAAGTACGCCGGGAACATCTTGCTCTGCAGATTCCCAAACTGATGCCTCGGAAGATTCCTGCGATCCAATCCCATAGAACCCCCAAATAAAAAAACAAAACAAAACAGGAGCATCAGATTTAGAGAATGAAATGTGGGGATTACTTGAACATGATGATGCCGCCGATGAAGGTGACCCATAGAGCCGCGCCCCATGAGGTGGAGAAGCAGAGCAGGTGGGCCAATTTTACAAACGTGACGGTCTCGAGAGGCCGTTGACCGTCGGACTTTGACCCGAAGGTTTCCGGCGAAAATAGAACTCCCGCCGCTAAGAATGCGACGGCGGTCAGGAACCTCGTCATCCAACCCATCTCTCTATAGACTGCGCGAGTTCGCCGGAAATCACCGTAAGCTGAGCCTGAGAAGCAGAAATTTCCTGCGCTTCCACCAGTTGACAGTAGAGCGCTAGAGGCGGAGATGTCGAGTTGGGTGGATCAAGGAAGTCCAGAAGCTTCTACCACAGACGAACATCGTCGTACAAATATCCGAAGTAGTTTAAAAGTCGTTGAAAGCCCATTATAATTGGATTCTTCTTTGGGAAAATGTCAAATAGGTCCTCGAACTTTCATAAAAAGATCAATTAAGTCCTTCTATAGGAGGTTCTGTCCGGCCGTCGCAATTTGGGGAAGTTTCCGGTGGAAGTTTTTGATGAAATTCTTTAAGCATCTTATTCATCAAGTCTAGTTTACTCATACCAAATTTCAGCTAAAAATTTAATCGGGAGCGCATTCAAATTAATTCGAGAACGCAAAAATGCGTAGTTATCTTCAAGAATTAATTTGAATGTGTTCCCGATTGAATTGTTTGCTGAAATTTTGTATGAGTAAACTAGACTTGATGAATAAGATGCTAAAAAATTTTCATCAAAAAATTCCACCGGGAACCGCCCCAAATCGCGACGACCGGACAGAGTCTCCTATAGAAGGACTTAATTGACTTTTTTATGAAAGTTTGAGGACCTATTTGACAGTTTTCCCTTCTTCTTTGGACTCTAACGTCCAAACATATTGAAATGAAATCTTCTTTGGACACAAACTCTAAAGTCTAGACCATTATAATTGGGTCATGCATTTAGTAAATTGGGATGCACATAAGACTACTTGTAGTCCAAAAAAATAGGAGTTAATTGAGAATTATATTAAGGGTGATTCTAAATGCAGTCACACAATTACTATTCACAGCCCATATATAAAATTAATTAATTAAATATATTTTAATTGCCAATTATATCCCGATACGGCTATACTATACGTCTTTACACACTTAATTCCATGCTGAAGCTCAACATCACCTTTTCGGCCTTTCACAATCTCAACCCTCGTTGACACATGCCTTTTCAAAATAGCTGGAATAGGGCTTCATATTACTTGCTGAAGTTAAACTTGAAGGGATTAAGTGATAGTGCTTCTGTGATGAATCGCTGCTGATATCTTTGATGCTAATAATCAGAATTTATAATTTAATAATTATATATACATACATACCCACACATATATGCATTTTGTGTGTATTTTGATTCAAATCAATCTGATACAGAGTATATCAGAGTCGCCCAGCCCTTAAGCTCCTTCATCACCTCTTCTCCTCAGGTAACTCGCCCCCATAGGCCATAGCCTCCACCACCATCGCTACCATAGCTTCAGCCATGTTCGCCGCCGCCATCTCCGTAACCTCCGCCACCCCTCCGCCTCTTTCATGACGTCCACCACCATATCTCAGCTCCTCCGTGAAATTTTGTCTCATTCAAGAAATTGCCATCGCTAGATTTATTTATACAGTCCGAGTATAAATCAATTCTAGATCGAGGGAAGCTAAAAAGGCATTGCTTTAGTGGAACAAAAGGATATTTTAGTTAAGGATAAATTTGTAAATTTGTTCACATTGATTAAAACGAATTTGACTTTGTGGCTGTAATTAGTAAAACATGGGCTGCATTTAGAATTACCCTTATAGGCTTATATTAAAATGAAAATTTTGGACTGTTAATTTCTAACATTGGAAAACAAATGTAGGAGTTAAAAAGGAGAGTGGGGGGGGGGGGGGGCTTTTTGGCGGGGTAATAGACTCTCAGATTAAAGGTTAAGGGGAGCAAGAAAATAAGGTGTTTTTGAGTTTTGAAAAAAATTCTTGTTTTTTATAAAGTGGGTAATATATTTATTTGTTCTCCAATTTTTACAAAAGTTAATTAAAATTTCATACGCCGTATACGAATACAATACCAGAAAAATTAGTATCGAGAGGCATATTGATGCTTTGGACCCAACATTGATGTTGAAGGAGCCCTAAGTGAATTATTGTTTTGATTGTGAGATATCCCTTAAGGTACGCCTCTCAACAAATTTTCTATGTTACCTATGGATTATTATATTGGAGTACGGAGATCATTAGTAAGGTGACTTAATATGGAGTTCCTATTTTCATGGATGAACTTCTCATCAACTCATTTTACTATTTTGGATGAAGGTTCTCTGTTAAAATATTGAGCCTTAAACTAGGTGCCGAAACAAAAAAAAAGTTGTGGAGTATATCCAACCACAAAATATACTTATATGTTGTTGAAAATTAGGTTATTTGGAAGTCGAATACTTCGTATTATTCATTATAACCTTGACAAGATCATAGTTGAAGAGTGTGTTCAGTTTGAGAGCCTTATAGGGGGTGGCTTGTGATATTATTGAGATTGAGGAGCAACATATGCATCACAAAGTCAAATGCGTAATCACTTTTAGCTTCCAAATGAACTCGTGAAATTGCTGGTGATATCTTCTTGATGCGTATGAAATCAATGTCAGGAAGGATGGGGCGGTCCTAGTTGCTTGCTAGGAAAATTAAAGGAGTGGAAGAAAAGGAAAAAAAGAAAAGGAAAAACATTCAAATAAGCCTCCTCGATTGCCACAGAAGCAAATGCCCTAATCGAAAATTAACCTGCTAGATGATAAGGGATCAAATGAGGTCTTCTACTATTATGAAATCGTCACATAAGATCATGTACTCAATAAAGTGTCATACAAATACGTCTACTTATAAAAAGCAATCACATGAGTGTTAATGACATGTTGACAACCTCATAATCCCAGTGTTAGCATACGTTTGACTATCTTTTTAAAATAGATTATAAAGCTGATGTGAAATATTTGGCCAGGATTGGTTTAAATGCAAGACAAAATAATGATACATAAGCTAAAATCGGGATTAGGAGGTTGTCAACGGTCATTTTGACTCATTCGGTTGTTTTTTTATAAGTAGACGACATATCTATATGAGACTTTATTGAGTAAATGACCTTATGTGACGATTCTGTTATATTAGAAGGCCTTATTTGACCTTTTTCCCTAAAGTATTTAGACTTAATTGGATGTTTTTTAATTCAAGAGTTTCATTAATTTTTTGGTATACTTCGAAGGTCGATTTGACTGTTTTCTCTATATTAATCTATCCCTTTATTTGGAGATCCACTTAATTCATGGAAAAGCAAGAAACAAGATGTTGTTTCTTGCTCATTCATTTAGGTCGAGCATCGTATTATTGTTTCCACTACATGTGAGTTTGTATGGATACGATGGTCATTAACCGATATGGGCATCTCTTGTAGTAATCCAATGCTGAAGTTTTGTGATAATAAGAGTGCTATTCACACTGCACACGACACTATTTTTCATGAACATACTGAACATTCGGAGATCATGTCATATTACTCATTGTCATCTCGAGAAAGGTAGTATCTCTTATTATTTGTCTCATTATGGATGCAACTTGCAGATTTCTTAATTTACAAAAGCACATACCCTCAAGTGTCACCAATTCTTTCTTGGCAAACTCTCGATGTTACTCACGTCACCATCACGAGGTTGAAGAGGATGTTAGCATTTGTGTTAATGTACTATAGCTTGATGTTTCATTTCTAGGAGTATTACTTTGATTTGTCATCTTTCTCACACCTAAACTTTTAGGCTATTTTCTAAAAGTTGGACTGGGAAGTGACCCGACCACATAACGGGGTCACGGGTCAACTCGGACCCGGGTGAGTCGTCCCGGTCAAAGCTAGGAAACCAATCAACATTTATATAATAATAAACATATAATTATAATCAAACTAAATTAAAAAATAATTATATATATCCACAATAATTAACTAAATTAAAACACATAATATCTCAAGTATATTATTTGTCTTATTTAACCTATTAGAACAAATAATGTGATTTGTTATTTATAATGGAATAAATATGGAGTATATGAATACATCACATATTTTTTGCATTCATGGTATTGAAGTTAAAGTTTCATTGATTTAAAAGTGCTTAGAAACAAAAAAAATGAAAAACCTCCCTGAACAAAGATTTTTTCGGGTTGTCAGGGTTTCTCTGGTCTAGGTCCTGGTCGGGTTTTTACCCAGGTTTCCTCAGGTTTTTTCCATTTCCGCAGTTTTAACCATCCAAACTGGTTTTTACCGTGCGTCGCCTATTTTCAGGTTGATCAGTTTTGTAAACATAGCTTTTAGGTGCTTCCCTTTGGTTTGTATCCTATATAAATAAGGACATTTGTTCTCTATTTTTTGTAAGTTCAAATGCACTCTAACAAGTTCAACAACAAACATTACGTAGTATTAGATAGTGAGGGAAATGATGAACAGTACACATACTTATCACACCTAACGTAGTGTAGATTAGTCTAATTTATATGTATCCCCAATATTCAGTGAGACAGTGAGTAAGCCAAGAGCATACTATTTTTTTTTACGGTTTTTGTATCTATTTTTAAAACATTCTTGATATTAGCATGGGATGAAAATTTGGAAAAGCCTTAAGAAAATGCAAATTTCAATGAACTTTAGAATGTAACAGGGGATATTTTAATCATTATGCTGAGTCAATCTTTTGTTAACATAGAATAAAGAAAGTTAAGTACTCATTAAGATATATTCAAAAGATATTTAACATATATAGAATGAAGAAAGTCAAATATTGGGTGAGATATATTCTATTTCAGACTTAGACTCAATACATACCTATTTTGTTTGTGACATTCATCACAAGATATCAATGTTGTAGCTTCCTATTCCCGCTCCCGAGTGACATGAATCACATGATGATTATTATTGTATTAATACGGAATTTCGGACTGTTGTTCCCTTTTTGTTGGTCCAAAAGTCTTTCAAATATATTAAATCAAGATTATCTATATGCTATATCAATTGTACATAGAGTATGAAATTGACTCTTTTTCCAAATATGGATGACAATTTCAAAGTAAAAATTGTTCTCTTTATAATAATCGAAAAAAGTGTGCATGATAATTAGTAATGGTGGTGATATGAAGGGCGGGAGGAGCCTCTACCCACCCAAAAACAAAAGAGGAATGATCCTGTCAGACCAGTCTAACAGGATCCATTGTTCCACTAAGGTCATTTGGGGTCCTTTTTGGGAACTTTTTCGTTGATATGTTTTGAGCATGTTCTTCGTCAAGTGTAAATTAACTCCTCAAAATTTCAATTTAATATT